ATTTTTTGTTTGATTATAGAGCTCCAAACAGTTTTTTCACTAGTCACAAGCGGCTGCACGATCAAATCCACCAAAGTTACGTGTGTCGTTGTTCATTATCGCATTTATTATCGCTCTACATCTGCTTACAACTTGTAAATGACATCGTTCGGTGACCACTAGAAACTAGTTTCGGAAGCGATTCGATAGACTTCATCGCATCTTACTGGCATTTCAAGTGAACTCGATCGTCTTACGTAAACCGATCAGCGTAATTTGCAGAGGATTCCATTCGGCAAATGGAATCACGGACAGTTCCCACTATTTCGACTTCTCAGCGCAACTCAAAACACATTTCACCCATTTTTACCATAACTTTCATAGTGTTAATATGACGCCCGCTCCTTGCTTTTTCACTTTACTGATAATCAATATGTGTTAACGCTTTCTGTGTAGATATTTGGTTTCTGTCAAGACAAATATTTGCTTCCAAATGAGAACTTCATTGATTTCAGGTGAATCTGCTCTTGAATTCTTAACTGTGATCCATCTTTACAGGTTATTTCAAACGACAATGCTGAAGACAATTTTGTGCTTGACTATTGTTTGTATATCGGCTACAAACACACAGAATCAATCCAACTACGCAATCAGCACCCATGTTCTTGACATTGCAAACGGTCAACCTGGCGCTAACATTCCTGTTGAAGCGTATTATTCTGACTACAATCGTTCATGGAGAAGCATTGGGAACAGGTTATTCTGATGATTATTTTTACGGATATGATCATCGAAAGTTTTGCGAGTGATCCAGAAGATCATCGAGTAATTATCAATTTGAGTTCTTCTGATAATATCAATAGTTCGTTCAAATAGCGCTTATTTTATTGTTTCAGCACCACCGACCGTAATGGTAGAATCGACAACGTTCATAAGGGATTTTCCTTGAGAAGCGGCACATACATGTTGCGTTTTAAAACGAACGCGTATAACAGATCGAAACAAATGCAGACTTTCTATCCGTACATCGAGGTATGTTCGGGTAGCGGAATTATCTGATGCTTGCGATTTTCATTCATGGAATGGCCACACTCCAGTGAACCGTTTTTCATTCGATTGTGGACCCACCCTCTTCGACCACTGATTCCTTTGTAAAATTTATTCGAATGCATAGCATGCTTAGCTCAGAGCGTGATGATATATTCGTTATTAATAACTGGATTAACAGAGGGGATATTTGAAATGATCGGATATGAATGCAGATTATTTCCTATAAAAATTCCTTGTTTAAGGTTTTCTCACATTATTTCAGGTGATATTCCAAGTAAGCAGTCAACGCCAGCATTATCACGTTCCGTTGATAATCAGCAATTACGGATATTCAACTTACAAAGGGCAACAACAGACAGAAGATCGTAGATATCGTCACGAATATTGAAGAAATACGCTATACAGTATTTCATTTATCAATAGTTGTTGTTGAAAAACGAACGAAACCGAAGCCTCTTATGTATTATTCTTATGTATAATTACTCTTGTGTATTTCTTATCGTAATCACTTTGTCGTGTACTCGAATTCGAAACGAAAAATGATTTCTTCACGTGAATTCTTCACATAATTCAAAAATGACTTCATAAACACATAAAAAAGACTTAAATTTGATCCATTACATTATTCCAATAAAATGGAGCAGCAACGGATGGAAAAGGCGAACTGTACGACGTTCCGATAACTCGCATTACTATCGTGAATAACATGTTTAAGGCATAAAACAACAGTGAAGTTTGGTAAGACGACAACATTGAGGCTGTGCAATTGTTATAAATTTATCAGGTAACCACTGTAGTACACTTGACAGCAAAAATTACGCAAATAACTGAGAAATTTGGGAAATGCACGTTTCGAAATCCATGCAGTTGCATGTTTGATTTGCACTATCTCTCGATAGATGTGAAATTTATTGAACGAATTTTTCAAGAGCGGTTTTCTCACATCAAGATTCAAGTACGCATATTTCAAAGAGGTGAGAAAACAGTAATTACTGGGTTGAGAAATAAGTTATCGCTGTTACGTTGTGTACGATGGGAGTGTCCATATCAGGCCTCTAAGCATTCCGATAATTCTTTTTGATCAATACGGTGGTGATAGTGACCGAAACACGCAAACAACTGAGCTGATCCGTTGACGACTCATTCGACCGATTGAACGATCATCATGACGTTTGTAACTCCCATTACTATTGAGCAGTACATTAACGCAGAGACCCGACAATAATACATAGATTCCATTAATCTCGATCATCAGTGAAATTTCATATGCATTAGTTTAGTCCACCTTTCATATGGTATTGCATTTGTTTTACGAGGTGATATATTGAATTTGGAGAATTACCTTCGCTTGGTCGTGACCATCTTTAGACTTCTCACTGAGAAGATGATTGGTGGAATACATGAAATTCTCCTTCGAAATTCGTTCGAAGTGAGAAAAAGCAAAAAAAAGGAATTGGTAACGGATAAAAAACGTTCTAATGCATATCTAATGAACTGATTTGAGTGGACGTTTGCTAGTAACTTAGAAAGTCAAGCAATGTTTTGCAGTGAAAATTTCATCAACATTTCCTCATAACAGCATGATTATGCACTAATATAAAGAACAAATGCACGATAGTTTCAATGCTCAATGCATGAAAATTGAGCTTATTGAAAACTGTGTTTCTTCTCTTATTGTTATTATTTCGAGGTTTTATCACGTGTTGCTGCATTTGTACTCATTCTATTTTATGCAATTATCTGATCCAATACTGCACTCCTGTTTTGTGCTAATGAGACTTATGGTAGGTAGCCATTCTGGTGACGGTACAATTTCGTTTTGCTATCACAAGCAAATTTCGATTGATATTCGCGGATGGATGGCAGACTGTAAAATCAAAACTATGCTGCATGATTTCAGTTTCATTGCGAAACACATGAAGCGAGAAACAATTTACACATATTTTCTTATCATCACATATATGTTTTGATTGAAACGATTAAACATCTCGATGCGTTCATCAACTCCGCATTAAATCCACAATAAGCTCGCATGAATTTTAAGAATCATAAAAATTAATTCGAACAATTTGTATTCGAACTATTAAATTCGAACAATCTTATGCTTCAGTCTTGGTCGACTGAAGAAAGAGACAGTATCTGGGATCAACGAGAGGATGTCGCATCGAAAAACAATGAAGGAATTTCATTTTCGTGTCTTTTTTGAGGCACTTAGCCAGTTTTCTAATATGCATTTGCGTTGAAAATTTATAATTGGAACCTTCATGGTTGCGATATTGTTTGATCGTTTCAAAATAGAAGAACAATTTTACTCGCATACTTTGAGTATAATTCGAATATAAATAATCAATATCACATTGAACTTTCGATAGATGATGAGATCATGAGAACTGAAGGTAATTTCTTTGATCGTCTTGGTAACGATTTCTTGCGCATTTTATCACTTGGAAATACCGCATATGTTGTTGTGGTTCGAATCTTATTCGAATTTTTAATCGGGCTCCTTTCTGAAGCTGTAGTATCGTTCTTCTGAGTAACCGACTGCTGATCAGCGCTATCATCTGGTGGCTCTGTGTCTGGCAACGGAGGTGGCAGATGGTTCAGGATTGACTGTAGACTTGGTGGATCATTCAATGATTTTTGGGGTTTGATCTCGAATGTTCGATCTCGAAATTTCATGTGCTCTGTGTTTTCAAGTCCTCCATTAGGGATGAGATCATTGGACAGTGTGCTGCGTAAGATACCATTTGGAAGCCTTGGCTTTGGTGGGATTGGAGGTAATGCTGAAGATGACACTGGTGGAACAATGCGTGGGTAGGTGATCTTGGGTATACGTGAGGAGAACGAAAATTTAGTGGAATTAACAGGATGATCACTGACAGCGTCCGCATTTTTTGTTGACATTATAGCTTCGGAATCAATAGCTGATTCTGCAGTTTCAATTACATTAGCTGATTTTGCAGTTTTATTGTCAATAGTTGATTTAGCAGTTAGATTAGCAGAAGTTGTGACAACTGGAATATTGTCAGCAGTAAGTGTCACGAGCGTTTCTGGTGTCAAGGATGCATGCAATGAGCTGACAGATGTGGTGCTCTGAACAGCATGAGCACATTCATCTTCGGTTTTGAACTGATGTTCAGATGCTCGGCTGGTAGTGTGCGAAGAAGCCTCGACAGCATTCGCCGTATCATCATCGCTCATTGAGTCACAGCCAGAATCTGCGGATTTAGACGACTTCGGTGACGGTTCATCGGATCGTTGGAGGCTATTCAACGAATTTTGCGCTTTTATCTCGAGACATTCCCCGTTTTCGAGTTCCTCCTCGTTGATCGTCGATAGTGTCGGTATGTGACGCTTCAGACGAATGCGTTCCTTTGCCGTTTCGATCATTTTTCGTAATTCGACCACAAACTGTTGCGCAAGTTGTGGAGGATTTGCCATTTGCTCAGGTTCGAAGAAATCTGCAAATCTTCTCATTTATATCCTTTTATTTTCTCACTACTGAAAATTATCTTCTTTTCAGATCAAATCAGTGATTTAACGGATCAAACAACTGTCTGTTCGTTCCTTAGGTGAACCTCACGGATGATTATCTCAGTCATGATCAAGAGATCTTTCGCAGCTTTACGATGTTGTCTCTCCAGTTTAGATTTATTGATCAATCAATCATTCTCATATGCGAAATGTAAAACAGAAGTTGACACCATCAAAAAGTTTTCTGATCATTCAATAAAAATGCACAACAATGAGAAGTTAATTCACCGGCACTGAAATAAAGTTTCCGTTTTTGGATGCCATTATATGAGGATAAATGCTCCACATTTGGATCATTGACTGCATAAAGCGCACAGTTCGCCTTTATAACGGCTATTTGCTCTTGCATATACTGCTGTAAGATCGTATTCTTGTTTATTGAATGTCATGAACAGTGGAAATTTATCCATTTCAAGAACGGGAAACATCATTTTACAAAGATCGTTTTTAAAAATTTTTGTGCGATCTTTTCACTCTGTTCTGATGTCCGTGATTTATTTCAAAATATGTCGTTGCACAAGGATATCGTCAATAAGAGCCGTGAATTTTCGAGCTAAGTGGAATTCGGCTGATGTAAGAAGGAAAGAGGCGAAAATTGTGAATGTCAACAGATGCATTCATCTGTCAAGATGGGATGACGTTTCTCGAAGGAATTTTACATTTTCAAATGCAATAAATAAACGCGTACTTGTTGTTGTTTCATATGGTAAAGAAACTGCAACTGAATTTTCGAAATTAATTTTCCCTTTTTGATTCTCCAACAAACACTCCATAATGTCACACTACCGAATACGGTAAGTGCAAGCAGAATCGAGAGTAGAATACAAGTGATTAATTCGATATGTTCCCATTGATGATCGCCGCTCTCTGTTGTTGATTTCAAATTCACTAAAAATATGCACTTCATTTATTGTTTGTTTTTTTTTCGTTCAACACTCCATCGCAATTAGCAACGCCTATCACATTCATTTTAATTAACTCATTTCTTGTTGAATTTAATTGACCATTATGGCATCACTTCTAACATTAAATATCTTCTACGGTTTACTGGCATATTCAATGAGAAATCTACAGTGTTCTATTTATAAACAGTTGGTGAATTTTGTACGCATATTGCGGATTATAAAGCATCAACGAAGCAGTTCAACTTACTGTGCACACCAGCAATTCGAAATGCTAAACACAATGAAGTGTTATTCGGGTTATAACAGTTCAGTTTCAACTGCACAATTGTACCTTCCAAAAGTCGTGCGTCATATTCGTTTCCTTTCCACTGCAATTGTACTGATTGAGTAAAATCTCGAGTAATATCACAATACAATGATTCTTTACGTTATGTTATCCGATTCTCAACAATAATGCAAGTTCTGCATTAGCTGCTTTTTTAGAAAAGTTTTGCTTTTGCCATATAAGTGTTCACATCATCTAGTTGATAAAGCAACACAGTCACTGAAATGACTGACTGGTCACTACAATAATAAACACTAAAATGATGACCATAAGACTTTTTGGAATACAGAACCGCAATAGCGTTGTATTGTTTAGTTGATCTGAACAAACAACTTGAACTTATCGATTCGATTCTAGGATATCGTGAGATCTGTAAACGCCCAGTAAGGTTGTGAAAATAGATCGTTTCTTGCCAACGATAGAGCACATGTGTGCAAAACGCTGCCTTTTTCATATGTGAACACATAACAATAAGAGCAGTAATTGGCGTAAATGAAAGAAATAATTCGAAACTTCTGCTGCATAAAGCGATCTAGCAAATTCTGACAGCAGATATATTCTCATTCCGTTATGTTTGAAATGAAACTTTTCCGTGCCAGTCGCGCTGATGGACTAAGATATACCCGTCCAATCTTCCTATTCTCCTCACAACTGCAGCAGTATTCAACAACGCCTTTCAAGACGAAAAAAAATCGAGATAATTTGTAAGGAGTACACTCTTCTTAGCCAAAATCATCCATCCATCTACATACAGTTTTCACCCACTATTGTGCGATATTACTTACCTACTCTGAGAAACAGCGTCGGTCTGAACGAACCGACACAATATATTTATATGCCTGTTGGATATGTTCAGTCCTAATTCGTACCATCATATATAACTGGGTGTCTAAACGATCGAATAGACATTCTCGAACTGGTTTATATCGAGAAGAAGGAGATGGATGTCATCATCTCTCTCATGATCCGACACGAAAGCAGTTCACTAACGATCAGCTCAATTTGTTTTAGTCGATAGTGAAGGATGAATGTTTCAGTGAACGCTTGTTGAAAATGCGAAACTTGTTGAAAACTAGAAATGAAAGCGTGAAAATCGCTTGATTTGCAAAATTGGTAAGGATTAACAACTGATCGGTTGACTGACTGATTAAGATTAATTGCTGTAGGTTTTTGATTACCACAAATGAGAGCTGTCAAAGAGAAACAAGCTTACCACAAGATAAGTTGAGCGTGCAAATGGCTCTAATGTGAACAGTTCCGAATGATTGTTCCGTGACCAGAAATCATCCGATAAAACGAACGTGTCACCAACTGAGCAATTCACCTCACCAGTTCTATTATCGATCTGCACTGAACTTTCTAAAAATCTCGGTCAGTGGAAATCTACTTCAGTTATCTATGAAAGCACATGAATGTAATAGTGAGCGAATTCGCTGTTAACGAAACACGCAAGTATTATAAAAAATATTATTAACCGAATCATTCGTTGATATTTTTGAAAATGTAATCGTGACCTTTCATATGCATTACTCGTGCTATTTCAGAGCGCACGATCACGTGTCAGCTCATCGTAATAATATAAGCTATCAAAAACACGATCAAGTTCTTCTTTGATGTGTTTTATACAATATGTTTAAAAAAATAATAAAACTTCGCCGCTTCAACATGTCATTTCAAATCTGAACAATCCTCAACTTTGTATTCTCAGCAAAAAAAACAGCACAACATCAACATCAAACAGCGGTTTGGGAAGAATTTTCACTGTATTCATTGTAAAATTTTCTATGTTGTTGTTGAAATTGAAAAACAATTTCTTTTCTCGTTCTTGTTGCACTGACGATGTTCAATTAGCCAGCCGGCGGCACGTTTGTGCGAAGAGGAGAAGAGTGTCATTGCACAAATATCTGTGACGAATGTTAACGTTTTTGTAAGGACACAAAGCGTGCAGACGGCAATTTGTATTGATTTCAACCCGTTGAAATAAGCCCAAAGGAGATGTGATAAAATTGTAACCGGTTTCAGAACAAACGAAATCTTTTTCGTGGCAAACTAGCGATATGTCACGATTGAAACTATTGTTGAATAGTCTCTTCATAATCTCATGGATGAAATGGAACGGCGCTCAAAGAATTCGATCGTTTAACGGATACAATCAAAAATAATTATCACACATCACAAAATAATGGTTATTTATGAATTCAGTCACCGACTGGTATTCATACGAGCAACGATTCAGCGGCGTAAGTGAGCGCAATAAAATTTTATCGAACTAGCGTCTTAATGTTATCCTGAATACGTGGATAGATGTTTAGGAAATGTGACATTAGATTCTCGAGCAATGGTGAATGTGAAAGGATGTGAAATTGATTTGACGTAATGCAACAGATCAACTAGAATTGATGATATAATTCAAGAGTACCTTTCCAGAGGATTGGTTTCGATGGCGCAAGAATGTTATTGGTCGATGGTAATGACAACGTTGGAATCCATTTAGAGAAGTGATTCTCAACTTGAAACGCAACTTGCCGCTTGCATTCTTCTGTAAATATATTTACGCAAATGCGTATGAGATTTTCATATTTCATGATTCGTTCATTTTCATGGGAAATCAACGAGTGAGAAGGCGCTTTAACGGGCAAGCACAAAAGGTGTGCGCTGATTTTCTGAATTAACTGACATCGCAGATTGAGAAAATCTTGAGTAACAATTTCATTAGGTCAATAAACTGATTACGTGTACCGTGCGTCGTTACTTTCTGCTTTGAAATATTTAACAAAATCAAAAGGTAGGTCATTCTCAATCAAATTATTTGGCAGAAATTAATTTGCTCATTATATGAATTGTTCAAAAGATCAAATCTTAAGTTTGCAAGAGCGTCATGAATCACATTAGAGTGTATTTCATTAATGTTTGGTGAGATTGTTGAACGATAATTGCATTTTGCACAGCTTAATTTTCATGTAAGGTGCACTATGGTTCACATACGTGCAATCGGCTAATGCAGCCACTCAAGGCATCAACAAAAGGAAATATAACATTATCGAGCGATGTCTTCTTAATATCATCATCATCATCATCACTTCATTCAATTCCACTTTTTACTGAGCATTCACTTAGTAAGATTCGATTGCATTCTGAGCACATTAGCGTTGTACTGAGGTAGGAGGAGGCAATTTGGAAATTGTATGCAAATAAACGAAGCGGAATAATTCAGCAGCAACCTTATCGAATAAACATACCCAATTTGGTGACACAACTTCTCACCGAAGGCAAAAAAACAGGATTCGAATCAGCACATTGACACAGACAATCGTTACCAGTTGAATAGTTCAAATGTGACGAACCATTAAGATATTTACATGAATAAATACAGTTAGGTAAATATACAGTATCAGCACCAAATAAATTGCGATGTACACTGTTCCATTGAAGCTGATCGATTGACAGTAATGGATTTGCGATTGCACGTAACTGATGATCGCATAGAATTAGCAATATGAAGAGTAGGCGATTAATGAATGCCACAATCAACATTTAATATTTAAAACCACCATGTGCTGGTGTGGTACCGATGGCCGAATCTCGTCTTCTCATTAACCGTCGTTATACGATTGTTTCGGCTTTTGGATGGGTGTACGATACACGTATGGACGGATGATATTATCAGATGATAACCAATAAAGAGTATAGTTAGGTGGTGGACGATAGGATCACTTAGCGATAGTGATGACCAGCCAGGTTGATGATCATCTATCTATCCGTTGTGTGATTGAATAGTCAGATAAGAAAGAAATGAATAAACGTTTGATGTTAATGAGGATGGCGATAGGTCGATTGGTTGCCCAATAGTATTTTATATTATTGTTAACACAATATTTGATTTGATGAAGAAATGAATCAAGAGAACGAATGCCTTCTGTCTTATCGTCGCATTTCTCTGTTACACTGATGTTAACGATGCTGTTGCCGTTGGTTGACAGCAACATGCCGCGGCAATGTCCACGACTACGTTCCATTCGTTCTTTCGTCGCTTCTGTTTCTTCGTTGGTTTCTTATTTATGATGCTCTTAGTGATCATTACCGTTGACTTGTCCTGTCTTGACTCGACCGTTATTTCTGTGCAGAAGATGTTGATGATTGCAGTTAATTCTCTCTCTCGTGCACATCTTGTGAGAATCATGCGCAGAGAGAAGAAAGAGATGAATTATTGTCGTACAATACAGCACAAATGAATGAAGATCAACACCTTCTTGTCTTTCGTTGCTGAGCACAAGTTAGTTCATTATTGCAATCATTGTTATGTATAAATGTTATCATGCATTCTTTATTCGATACAATTATTATATCATAACTGAATATATTCTTGCATGATCTATCACAGAACAACGTTCTGAGGATATCGTTTGTGTAATATCGTTGCCGAGCACACCTATCCTTCCACTTAATTATACTTTGTTTCGTACAATTCATCCAACGCATCGTGCATTCACTCGAGATGTACTCGTATTTTTGATTAAGCTCTGCTATGAGTTCTCCGTCTATTGCTCATTTCAGAGTTATCCTTACCGAAACGAATGCATACGATGGTTTTATCATACCTCATTGGGCCTTTACTGCAAAGGAGTTGAGCGTAATTGAGCAGTGGTTACGATACATGGTTGCATGAGCTTAGCCAGTTCCGAGCGAATGAAACTGAGACAAAAAGTTCCGCATATCACAAACCGTTATAAATTAGATCACGATAAATTTTCGTTCGCCTGTTTGTTCATCGCTGACGAGAAATATGTGGAGCAGTCGAACTGCTGAAGGACGTTTTCGGTTTGATCGAAAAAGAATGAAAGAAGAAAATGTGACACAAATGATTCGTTCATTTTGAATGACAACAACAACAAAAAAACAGTAACAACAATAGAAATCTTTTCTCGTCTATTCCACCACGTACCGCAAAAAGTTTTCTTCGCTATTCTCCATCAACAAACGAAAGCAACCCAAATGAGGATGTCGAAATTTTTGGTGTTCATCGCAAATGAGTAGAATTCATCAATCATCAAATGCATTTATTTAAACCGAACCAACAAACGAACTAATTCGAATAACTTGAAACATATCATACATCAAATAAAGCCAAAACAAATCACAGTTCAATGAAATGATCACATAAAAGATCGATGACAATGTTTTCAAAAATGCATACAGAATTAATGTCATTGCAAAATTGGAATATTCACAACTGATGTTATTGTCAGTCAATGACGTTTCAATCATACAAATACTATGTCAAAAGAAGTAGATGAGAATTTCGAAGCGTTTTAACGTTGTAACAATTATAATAATGTGTTTGTAACAAAGATAGTGGTGCTAGGTTGTAACGATAATGCACACAGCATTTTCATATATTTAATGAAACATTTGAATTTAGATAAAACATTTGAAATTGATACAGTGCTAAATACTATTGTGAAACATTGAATGAAACATAATGAACGCGTGATATTTTTTGATAATATATCAACAATCAGAACACACAAAGTAGGAGAACAATAGAAATGATGCGGTAAAATATATAGTGGAAAAGAATTAGATAATACCCGTTTTTCCAGGAAAACAATGACGTTGATGAGAAGAAGAAGAATCAATGTTGTTGAAACGATGAAAATTAGGAAGAGCTGTTCAGCGAAATGTCAAAATCAACAGCTAATGTGCGATGAGAGTATTACTCAAAAGACGCTCGATGATATCCTAAACAATGCACAGTTCAGAAGTACTAAAATCAGATAACCGGATGAACATTTCAAACCGTTTGCGAAGGCACTTATGACTAATGTTTACGATTAGCCTAGATTCGTATCAAAAGGAAGCTGTCAGATGCACACAGACAAGAAAAATTGTTCATAATTGATACTACAAAAACATCCAATTAATGTATAATTGACGTTCAGTGATAATGTATTCAGTAAGTTTTGTAGCAAAAAAATCGTTGGGTTGTTGAGAAGCACCGCGAATGGGCAATACTGACGATGCGATAATGAATGAACATCGCGAATGCAAAACTCAATTAATGGGCATTTTTGATCTGAGAGTATTAATGATGCGATCCTTTTCAGCCAGTTCTCTCCTCAACGCATCATTCTCGCGGATTAGACGTTCCACATTGATGCGGTCAAGATGCTGAAATGAGTGAATTCAATGAATGGCAAAGCAGTTGGAGTGCAGCAACACATGAATAATTAAGAATACTTCTGCAGGTGCACGTTTTACTGATCAGCTTAAAAACTCGTCAAATTCAATTATCGAGTTCTGTCTCACGTAACCAAGAAACGAACTTCATATAAGACTTATTCAACAGCTGATAGGTTAACCAACGAATAACTTCGTCAAATATTTCATCTACTTTGAAATGGGGACAACTGAAGTTGAGTTTGAAATTGTGAGTGATTTACCTCTGCATCGTTGCCACTGACGAGCTTATCAGCCACCGAAGAGTTCTAAAATAATAAATTTTTATTGCTCGTTTAAATTGATTACTTCACATTTCGCTTAATTTTAAAAATTCTTTCGAGTACACCGTATGAAAAGCATGCATATCCTGACTGCCCAGAATCTTATCAACCCCTCTCAGAGGGTGACATNAGAAGTTCCGAACGGAAAAGAAGAAAAAAATTAGCGATGTGATCCTAATAAGACTATTAGGATTACACGAGCGAGTCAAGTGGAAAACGCATACGTTGACGATGTTTTGTAGCTGCAGTAATTGATTCTTCAATAAGGCAACATCATGAAGGGCCGCTTCAAACAATGCTGCATCCTCTGATGACAACCTATTTCCTAGTTCATCATCGATTTTATGCTGTCTGAAATTGAATTCTTCGAAATGACTCCGATATAATAAACGATTTTATACATACATTATGAAGAACTGCACTGAATGGTGTTTATCGACTGAGACGAAACGCTCACTGATTATATACATACAATCACTCAAAACTTCTTGACTACGGCTTAATGTCTGCATACTTTTTGCACATTTTTCGAGCTCTTATGAAAGTTCGCTTAAATGATATTCAGCAGAGTCGTTATAGCAACCAACTGAATACATTATATCTGCAGTACTAGCGTCTTGATACGTACGTGTAAGTGGACTTTGCAGAACGAAATAGACAAGTAACGCTCTCCATCAAGCATCAAATTGGAAGAGAGCATCAAACTGCGAAAGAATGTCGTTTGTGGTTGAGAAAAAAAAATATATCATGACTTATTTGCAAACTTTTTAACTGATTGGGTGATAAGTTGATAGAAAAAGTTAATCTTTGAATTATCAGTAACGAATGCTCGATGAACAATGCTTGCATATTTACTTGCGATACGACGATGGCACGGACTGCGTGTTGGTCACAAATACCTCGGAGTTGTTCACGGATGCGGAGTGTCTCGCACGAGCCCGGCTAGCTCTAAAGTTCATCGTTGAGCACTTTTGTATTTATTTCAAAATTAATATTTTGTTTTCAAAAGCTAATCCGTTGCTATCCAACGAACGCATACCACTCACACTCATACACACATNACCAGCACAAACACTTGCCAACAGATTGACCTCATTTCACTCAGATCGGCTCATCACTGAAGCAATTGGCAATAAATCAATACGTTCACCATCAATACGTTACGTGCACACGAAAACTCTCTTGAAAAAGATATTGATTCGCTTATATCAATTGGCCAGCTTGCAATATCTATCCAGCTCAGCTACACTGATGTGATATATTGATAACGTGAAAAGATAATGGTAAATCTATGAGAATGGAAATTTGCGAATGGAAATCAAATGAAAAGTGAGATTTTTTACCGAACTGATCGAATGAGCGTATTCAAGAGAAGACAGTCGGCCATGTGACGTGATCGCACACAAACACACACACACACAACAAAATTGAATCATTCACCACTAAAATTCATCGCCGATGATGATGATTGAATGTATATGTGGATGGAGTTGGCTGATTGCTGCTTGCTTTACATCTTTCTCTCGTTTGCGTTTCCCCACAATACTCTCTCTTTCTCAGTTCATTTTTGTCCCCTTTTAAAAAGCTTCACCTCTTGCATTCTCATATCGTTATACGTAAATTTTCGCTGTGCAAATAAATAAATAAATACACTTCATTCTGATTTAGAACACGTTTCCACGTAGAAACACGCTTGAATCTGCGCATACTTATGGATCGATGAGTATCATATAAGCGACCAACTTGACAGATATACTCACACACATAACCTGTTTCACCATGAGCAGCTAATCGCAACGATACTTCAAAACTTCACTTCATCAAGTAAATACGCATTTGTTTTAAACAAGACAAGATCGGACGGAACACATCATTATTACTTTGAACATTACAACGCAATCAACCGACACTTTCCAATGTCTTATTCGTGGTAATTTGATTGATTGAGTGAACGATAATTCATTCTGAGTGTGTTTGGTTAACCGTTGAAGTGCATTGTTTAATCAAGAATGAAATTTTTTTATGATACACTGACAGTGATGAATACTGATGGTCGGACCGAATTCGTGACGCGTTCACATGCATTTCCACAAATGTTACTTCAACAATTTCTGATTATTTGTCGTAAGCAAAACATTGCGATTTTCCACTGGATCATGCTTTGTTCGAAACATATGTTCAATTTCTTCAACTAATTCACTGAAGCATCAAATGGCCGTACTCAAACATGATATTAAGTGCAGGAAAAACGACGATTTATGAATGCATAATAGTCATGTAGCACTCGTATGAGCATAGATGATGACTAATTAAAAAGAAGAATCAATAAGATGCGCATGCGCGATCGCAAGAAGTGGACGAGACCAACCCATTGCATATGGTTAGATTTGAGAGCTGCTCATCAACAGAATCCACTTCAGAATGAGAGCTTGCGTCATTGATTGGTGAGTTGAGTATTCCTGATGAAGTCATATACCCAGACGATGCCATATTCAACGAGCTAATCATGTGCACTGGACTCGTTTGTGATGCCTTTGGAACAGCATCCGTATGCACTCGATCACACATCTCCGTTTGATTCCGCCAACTAGACGATGTTGTTAAATGCTCATCGACCACACCAAATTCACCACCAATTAGTAGCGGTTGATCTCTAAAGGTACGTCTGATAGTCAGAATTACAATTCTTTGAGTAATACACGAATCGATTCAAATCTCATCGATTTTATCGTGTACAATACGAAATTTATTCAAAGTTGATTCGAATGTTTCCAAAATAACGAGATGCAATCATGATGCCTAATGCATATCATAACATATCTTTGGAATGATACAATTGTAACATTCTGTATCATTCTTCAATGGATATCATTCTCCAAGTGATAAAGAGATTTACATTTCACAGTACGATGTACAACATGCAATTAATCTGATCAAATGAATCTAACAGATTTTCAAGCGGAAACCTGGATTCATAAGATAAATTCTTTTAAAACTCACTTGATTTCGTCGTCAATCAGTCCACGATTCGTTTCAGCGCTTGATGCAGCTGGACTTGTTATGGCCCAACCTTAAAAATAGATAATTTTCTTAAAGGTGCGCGTATAATATAGTCAGTCTATGTTTATTATTGAACAAAATATCAAATTTTATACTGCAGCTGTTCAAACGTTCATCAAAATGCTTGACTGCTTTTCATCAAAACAATCATGCGAACGGTTGACTGCTCCAATCCAAAGCGTTTAACAATTAGTGCAATCAGTGAATGTCATTCCAACGAGAACAGTTATCCAAACACATAGCTATCTTAATCACTCATGAACACGGAATGAATTCCATCGCCATTCGTATTGCTTATTTACAATGGCCTCTTATAAATCACTTCTACACATCACATTACTTCCACACATCAAATGACAAACAATCATGCAGATTATCATTTTGATCACTAGATCACATCGTAACGAATTTCAAACGATATTTTCCGAATCTTCAGCGAGACATCACATCGAATGTCACTAAAAAATTCCGAAACTAATGAAAATTTGAACGAAACAAAGAATTCGATGAAAGGAAATGTACGACAATCGCGTGAATTGAGCAGTTTAACCGCATTGCGGTTATGTTTGAGCCGATAGAGCCGATAGCCAAAAGAAGAGCTTGATTGTGGTGAGGAGAGTAATGGATTTTGGAGATGGGGAAGGAAATGAGATTAGGCACTGGATTGAATGAATGAATGTTTATGCTGAGCAGAATGCCCAATTGAGATAGATTAGCGTCTTTGTGAGTGTTGCATCTTCACGTTCAGTTTTGTGCAGCAAAAGCATCGAACAGCAGCAAGCGTTGGCTGGTTGCATTTCAGCCGCACTCTTTTGCTGATTATCTTCCGTTATTACTGTCTCCAATTAATGCCTCTTTTTTTTNTTTTTTTTGCATTCACTAACAATAAATATTTTGCATAATTGTCAGCGAGAAATCGCAATTGCTCAATATCGCGAGCATAAGAACTCCTCTTATTGCCGCCTCATGGCTTGAAGTGTACAACCGAACTACTCGTCTCTCTCCACTCTTCTTGCCACACATACAACCGCAAATTTTTATCGTTTTCATTCAAAAACGCTCCTCACGATCATCTCAAATGAATATGAACTTTTCCGCAAAATCAAAATTCTGATAAACGTTCTGAGAGAAACGCCATCAATCTATCATCCTAGGCGATTCCACGGAATGAGCAAAAAAATTGGTGGACTTACCGTCATTGTGGTTCGAGTTATTACTCGTTTGTGAGTGCTCGCTTATGATAGTTTGTGCTGCCGTAACCTCAACGTTACCGTTCAAATCTGTTCGTTCTTGACGAATCGTTGTCGGATTGGAGTTGACATCTTTGTTGGTGGATACGACCGCTGCTGTTTCTTCAGGAATCGTTGCAGGACCATTTTCAAGTCTTTTTGCCAGCGACAGCAATTTACGTTTCTGACCAGGACTATTTGTTGTTGTTGCCGTCGCTCGATCGAAACTCGTCGGAGGCATCTCAACAGCAGGCGAGTTTCCGACTCGAAACGATTCACATTCAGCCAGTGGAGCCTTCAACAATATGACCACATTAATTGCACCATTTTCCTTCGCTTTTCACTCGCTCATCATCCCTCCATTCACTGGAACATCACTCATTTCCGCTAGTGCGCTTTCAATGTCCACTATTGATTCGCCTGAATTGTTTCGCAATGTCCATGTACATGTGCATTATCTTACGCCACACGATTTCATTGTTTGAGAAGCAACAAACAGCATTTCTAACAATCTATACATAAATTTCCATGCAGATCTCATGAATGTTTAATTGAGTCCAGCAAGCAGCTGTATCGTTGTTTTAGTTAAAATTTTGTTCGAATCGGCTGCGATTCAATTGGACTGCTTGTGGATAAATTACATATAAAGGAGATCATTTTAGGAATTTTTATGAAGTCACCATTCAAGAGCTATCGAAATCGTAAAGATGGAATGTTGTATGAATGAAACTGATATGGAATATCCCTTTATTGGTCAGCATTGTCCCCTCAATGACAACGAATGTGTTGAATGAAGACTGCGTAAACACAAATCAAACGAGAGCATGCCAGAGTAAGCATATTAGATGCTTGCATAAATTTGTGACGATTAAATTACCGCCAGAGATTGCGATGTCGGTATAAATGGTGAGCGGCGACTAGAATGACGATCGGCGGCACGTTTGTGAGTTGATGAAATAAGCGGAATGAATGAACGTTCCACTTTTTTGACAAGACTTGCTTCATTTTTCAAATCTTCCGGTGCTTTACGTTGAGATTTCGTTGTTGTTGGTGGTGGTTTTCCTGTAAATTACTCAATCACAAATAAATTTTAATAGAAGAGATCACGACCAGCGTTCAAAATTGGCGAGATGTTTTAGGTAAGGAAGTGGGAGCAATTTTTATAATTTACAGAGGAAATCACAGATTTGAGGCATTCCAGTGCAGAAGATGTGAAAAGCAAAGAATTGAGTAAAACGCTTGCGCAAGATCAAAACAATCGGAGATGTCAATTGAAAACACCAATCAAAATATGGATTGAAGTGGAAGAAAGTAGAGGATTTAAAAGAAAGCAGAAACAACTTGAACAAATCAGGAATAGTTCAAATTCTGAAAGTTCTAAATTATAAACTGATTGAATAGCTATAAATCGGTAAATTTCAACAAATATGCATAAATTTTGCAAACTGATTCGCTTACCATTGTCAGCGGATTCTATTCTCGATGATTTTTCAGCGGCGGTTGCCTTCATTCTCCACTGTTTTATTTTGCTCGGATTTTTCCCACTGATTGTAGCGCTGACTTTAGAAGCGCAACGAGATGATGTGGTTTGTGGGTTTATTCGATTTTTTGGTTGTGTTGATGTAGACGATTGAGTTGGATTGCGGATTGTTGCTGCAGTGACAGGCGGATTCTTTGAATGGATGGGTTTGGGTTGAATTAAAGGGGTGATTTCTGCGGTTGGTGAAATGCTATCGCATACTTGCGGTTGATCATTTGAAAGCTTTTCTTCAGTTTTTGCATCGGTTGATGCGTTTTTCGACTCTTTTGACTGTGGCAGTGAAGCGTTCACGACGACTGCACGTTGCTTTTTGCATTCAGAACCCTTCGAGTCTGCGCTTTTGTTTGCTCTCGACGACATTTTTGTGGCATCATCTTTCGAGCGAATTTTATGGCTGCTGTTCGAAGTGGGCAATGAATTTGTTGTGGCAACTGTGCAAACGGGAACCGGAATTGAGGATTTAATTGAGTCAGAGCTTGTGGAGTTGGGTGTTGGTCGAGTTTCCATGCTGGCCGATTTCTTGAACAGACCCGATTCAAGTCGAGTGCCTTTCTTGGCTTGGCCAGCAACGCCAGCTTGCACGTCATTATCGGACAATCTCTGTCGCATACTGAAACAAAAATTGTTAATAGGTGCGATCGTAACTGCACCGATCAACGTCAACGCAGTGCATGTAATTCGACGATTCAAATACGAAATGCGTATTCTATGAACATAATGTGGCAAGCATTACGAATATTATATGCACACAATTATGCATTGAATGACCCATATAATCAATTATTCATCAGTTGTGAATGGTCGTGAAACGCCGAAGTTTGTGGTGAACTCTACGAATGAATTTCATTCACTACTGACTGCTTCGTCAAGCACACGTTTCTTTGAAAAACCTCACCAACATTTCTTCATATAATTTTAAAGTTTTTTTAAAATTTAATACAATAAACGCAACAGATTATCAACACATGTGAGCATAAACTCCAGTTCAGTGCTCCATATTTGGAAACCGTCAGTTAACGATTTAATCGTTATTGATTGAAAAAGAATTTGGAAAAAACAATGAAAGAATTGAATTGTCGAATTTAATCCAAAAGTTCAGATGAAAGCGCGTGAAAAATTACATTCACACACTAAATGACGTGATCAAAAGAGGTGATCAAAAATTAGGCATAATGCATTGAATAAACAAAACCTTGATAAGCTATAGCTTGATCGAATGCTTCGATTAGTGTCTTGGCGATTGAAACGATTGCTGAGTTTCGTGAGTCGATTACGCACCGAATGTGCAACACTCATCAGTGGACTTCTCGGCGCTCCGCTACTGCTAGAATCGCTCTTGCGTATCGAGGCTGCGGTCATGGAAGTGGCCTTTTTGGTGGCTAAATTCTGAGCGAGCTTGTTCTCGATTACTATCGAACGATCATCCGTCGATTGGTGTTCCAATTTTGAATCAATCTGAAATTCACATTTCACATTTTCACCTTCGTCATTCTTCCTCTTACAAACATGCGATTGCATTCATCGCTCGTTAACTTCAATGTTCATCGATTATTGCTTCAATTCGGTCAAATGGGATCTAAGACTTCGAAAAGAATATTCTAGTTAATTGAAATGTGAGGAGATCTCCCTCGAGCTCCTTCCAGTTCCTTCCATTGTAGTTCCTTCCAGAGTCTGGCTCAAGTACAAGAGTAAAACCAAATTCAGAATAAACGCTTCTGCTCAACAGAAATTACTGGCAAATGGGTTAAGATGAGCTCGAAAACGAGAACAACCGTTTTCTGTTGGTCGATTTGAGTTTATGTTCCCGAAAGTATAGACAGGGTGTTGTAATTGCTCAATTGCTGACTCTTTAATGAGATCAGTACCGACGAATCAACAATATCTTATTCATTGAATTGCTGTTAACAACCTGTTATTATTACGCACAGGATGTTTTATTGATGCTCTGACAGCATTTCAGACAAATGCTCACACGCCAGCAACATTCACATCCACAATGTAATATAATCGAAAGTTTTAATGCAAGATGTTATAACAAATTTCAGAACGAACTCGATTCGTGGATGAGGTGGGTTGTTTGCGTGAGGTTGACTGATCTGAAGACGACTTCGGAATGGCGGCTCGATACGAGTCGTCACGTCGTTCAGATGCTTGTGTTGTAATGGATTCGTTTGATTTCGACTCGGGTATCGTTGGTATGGCACGATTCAGTGGAGGTCTTCGCGTCGGCTTGCTATTGGTCGGCGGCATTGCTTGGTCCAAGTGCTCATTTGACGGAGAACGATCCGATGGTAGAACAACAATTGAGTGTGTTCGAGGGTACGGATAGGAATGTGACGATCGATATATCCTGAAGTTTTGAAGCTGTTTTTAGTTCAGTTGGAAAATTTCGTTCGACAGAAATGAAAACAGCAATCAGTCTGACAGAAATAATGGAATGAAAATTATAGTGAATTTCATCTCACAGTCGCCTGCATATTTATGTATAAACATTTTTTAAGTGCACCACAAACATGATCAAAGAAGTGGCTCATGTGTTACTGTGATCACATTTACAGCTGTAACGCTCAAAATTTTGACAGTCCGATGAATCAGTAAATAGATCATACTATTATATCACAATAGGCGTATTTCCGATTGAAGGTAAAGGATGAGCATGGAAAAGGTGAAAAACGATTTTTGTACGGAACAAACCTTCGTATTACTGTGATGAGATCATTCATTACTGTTATGACGACTGATTATAAAGGTAATTTCAATGCAATTGTAGTAGAGTGAGAAAAATACATTGGTTTTGTGGTAATCTGCAGGAACGAAAGCTCAAATATTAACTGCAGTCGTTCTTTTCATTTTATTTGAAGCGAAAGACGAATTAAGGCAGATTGGATGGTCAGTCGAATTAACAACGACTGAGCTTTACGATTCGGTGAGAAAGAATATTCGCAGACCGCTGCATTACGCTGTAACAAAATGATCGGAAAGGTGCTATTGGATCAATTAAAGAGGAGGAACCTCATCGCAGAGACACTTACTTCTAAAACGTGTTGAGGAGAGAGGTTCACAATTCAGAGGAGTTGATTTTCGTACAGATAATTTCATCACAAGGTTGTATCAACATTGACTCTGATGATGAAAAGAAAAAGCCGTAAATTTTGGCCATTCCAAGTGAACTTAGATCTTCGAATACGGTTTATGAGAGCAACAAAGCATAATGACATTCGCTTGCTCAAGTGACGTGCTAACACTGATAACAGTCTCAAACAAAATTCCACTCTAAGCACTACAAACAAATTTTATAAGATGCAACACCATCATCTATGAAAAATAACTTCATAAAACGAAGTATTAAAGTGGTGAATGCGGTGGAGAATAATTCCATGACGATTGACAAACAAACGAACAAGTACTATATTATATGAAAAGCGTGATGTGCTCGGTATGCATGAAACAAAGCATGTGAACTACGTATATGCGCTGTGCTGCTTATAGGCATCATTCGTTATCGATTTACAACAATCCATCCACTTGACGTCTGCCTATACGGCTAAAAAGCCGCTTTTGATTACTGCATAGTGAGTGAGTGACCACATGATTGCGGTATCTCACATATCTTCTTCAGCTGGATATTATGAGTGCTTTATGCGTATCAAATTTCGCCGACGGAAAATGGCGTTGATCGACCTTTAATGTGCAAATTGCAAATATTTGTCCACTAGTAAAACCAGTTCAGAGCATCATATGATTACATTGTGCACATATGAATGTTTGAAGATGAAGCGCAGTGATAATGTGTTCACATAGCAAACTGATTATTGCCTTATACATGTTTGATTATGTAACAGCGGTTGCGGCTTGTGAAGCTTTATGAATTTTACAAATATTTCTAAAAATTGCATAATTCTTTTGCTCGCTTGAATGCAATAATCACGGACTGAATTTTGAATAGAGTGATCAGATTTTGTTCATCCACTGAAAACAGAAATACGATTAACAGCATAAACTTGTGTGTTTTATGTTTGTATGAAAATGAATCGTTCCCATTGTGCATGCTTGAAGAGAGGAACTCGATTTGGGTACATGATGTGTTGCAAATTGAAAGGATTGTGCGTGTGTGTGTGTGAGTAACGTGCAAAATTTTGATTTTATTAGTGATTTATTGAAAGGACTTCATGTTGAGAAGAACATCCATGAGTGCAGCTTTTCATCAGTTCAAAAGGACATCCATCCATTCATCTATCCGTCACTCATTCGTCATCATCGCCCGCTATTCAAACCACTGAATCAATAAATCTGTTCACAGATTGTTATTATTGTTATTACAAACACTCCCCATCAACAAACACTATCAATGCACACTAATGAGGAGAGCATCGTATCAAAACGCTCGTTGAAATGGATCAGTGCAAATTGGAGTTGATCTGATGAATCATTACTGAATAGATAATCAAATAAAACGATTCCTTTGCAGCGCTTAATCATGCATCACCATAACATAAACTTTTGCTTGCATAAATTGTCCACAGCACTTGAAGAAATAAATGATTAAATAAATCATTATGCAATGTTGAGTCAAACATAAAATTTGAAAGTGCGTTTTCATCGTTGAAAATGGAAATTTTTACGACAACTCAATAAATTGAATCAGATGAATTTGCATAGAGTCACATCTGATGATGATGAAAATTTGAACGCACACCGACGACGACTTGTAATTGCTTCGCAACAAGCTCCTTCAACTACTAATGATCGTCGAATAGTTTCGATATGTGAAAATGCATGCATTAAGCTCGCTTGTGTTGCTATTGGCAACTGCAAATCATTCGGCAAATAATACTTCAGACTGCAAACATTTCTCTACATTTATGAATTACCAACAGTCATGGATGGCTGATGACTGACTTCGAATCATAATAATAAATTCCATTGGAACACAATCGATAAAAGTCTAATTGCATTGTGAATCTTCCTCATAAATGTTGAGCAAATAATGTCAATTGGTCGCGATAAGTCGTGAAAATCAATGAAATTGTTTCTTTCGCATGCGCAAAAAAAAAGAACTTATAAACTCATTAACTTGTCATCAATTTGAAAGCAACGAAACATTCCAAAAAGTTGCAAGCAATCATTGTTAGGATGCGCCCCTATCAGTTACTCTTTTGATGAATAGCCGAATTAGTGCTGTTTCCCAACTGATAGGCGGATGAATATCGTACAATAGCAGTTTGATTGCATGAAGATTATCCAATTTAGTTCAATGATTCATTTGCATTCCAAATATTGGCTCGCTGAAACTCAGCATTGTTGTTTTCTGTTCAATGGCATTTGAATTAATTCATCGTATAGAACTTCAGCAATGAGAATTTCTGAACTTTTGTTGAGGTAGACGAGAAACCCACGAGCAACGATATTCGATGTGGATGGCACGGGAAATTATGACTGATTCAGTGTCATGATTGATAATTTCAAACAGATCAAATAAATTCTTGTTGAGAGAAACATGAAGAAATATCGCTAAAATGGAATGACGAACAATGCACTTACTGTACAAAAATACAAAATTACAAATTGTAATATTGATTGTGGCGGTAATGAATATATGATGAAGGAGAAAAAAAATTAATCGCCCATTCGATACAGGATACAGGAAATAAGACGGGACGGATGATTTATAGTGAATGGATATTGGAATGAATCAAATCATGAATAAATCAGATCAATATAACACTCAGTGATGAAATGATTCATTTCTGGGTGATAATAGTGCCAGAATGATCTAAAACGTACATGGTAACGATGAGAACAAAATGTGATTTAAAAAATGGCTTATTGATACAAAAATGTCGCACTTACTTGCTCATTGCGTGATCATCGGTCAGGATAGATAAAGCTGTGCTCGAAGTCTTGTTTAGCGAACTCTCGCGACGTTACGGCTCAAATCGCTAACGAACAAGCAATCCAATGCTCACACTAACGAACAACCAACCAGTGGCTCTCTTATGAAAAGCCTAATCCCCTTGAAAGTCGTTACGATTGCCATGCTTATCGAATATGCTAGTGATTGTTGCTTGCTTGCTTGCTTGCTTACAACTTTTATTTCTATTACAGCTCTCGATGAATAGAGTGAGTCACGTCTCGATAGATGCAGCACATGCATACATAGAGATATTCATTCGTTATGAACATGATAATTCTCTCATCTTTGCTTCGCGACCCCATCCAAATCAATCAAGCTAACAGTTGTAGTCGATTGGGCATAACATAGCTATCCATAATGAACATTAATCTGAAGAAATTTTTATTGTTCTTTGAGGTTAAATTAGTTGACGCATACGTCAACATGACATGATCAATTGTGTGTATGCGACACATATACCACGTGTGTTTGTTGCTGACAATAAGAATTGCACTGCACTTAAAAAAATCCGTTGCATTCAATGTATGAACACGGAATAATGCATTCATGATCTTATTCAAATAAACAGCCAATTGTCAACTAGGAGTCATCGTTTACATATGCATCCATTTCTGAGGTTGTTTATCATACAATTCGGATTCAGAATGAAGAAATATTGCCCATGCAAATGGTTGTTGAATAAGATCAAATTCAGTGGCAAGATTGAATGCACTCAGTCGCAAGATCAAAAGCTGTCACAAAGAAATATTTTTGAAGAGAGCTGTTCATCACTCTGGAACTAAAGTGTCTCCAAAATTCGGAACCAAGAAACGATTAAGTTTTAATTAATATCCCGGATCTCGGGAACGATGGCTCATTGCAGAAAATATATTGTCAAAAAGGAAAATATTCAACTGCTCTCGAGTTCGCCAACTCTTACTTGAAACTTTTTCAATCAGTAGGGACATTTCAGTTAATTTTTCGATTCATCTGATCAAAATTATCCTATGGTGATTATTTTGCTGTTGGAGGCACCTCATCAAACTCCAGCTGTTCCTCAAACAGCTTTAATGCATTTCATCAGACTCGCGACTGTTCCTCAAACAGATTTAATTTTAAGGTCAATTGCGAAGAAAACAACGCTAAACCACAGGCAATTACACTTATAGTAGTTCTTTGTTACAATGACGTCATTGCAAAAAAGATTAAAATATTTTGAATGAGGTGCGTCAATATTTGTCATGATTCACTAACGCGAAAATATTTCGTTTACTTTGCAAGAATTTATTTGGAGACGTTACCCACCCACATCTTACTGATGACTATAAATCTGTTCGCCGCTATCACATAAATACCTCATTTACCACCAATTCAACAGCATTCACGTCCGTCCTCATCTGAAGTCGATCCAGTCTCAAGATCATCTCACACAGTCCTCTCGGATCATCGACACTTCTTCCTATTTCGACGTTTGTTTGCACGATTGTTTATTGAAGCCATGAAATGAAGCCATGAATGTTTCAATAAAATTCAACAAGTGTTGCGTAAAACCATAACGGTGAATACTCTCGAAGATGTTTAGTTGAGTGTGAGAGCTGGATTCGTGTATAATTGTGCAGAAGGAAAGGCTTTCTGTGGTTTTGTTTCGTGGCGAACACTGAAAATGCATGCAACGATGGCAGACAGCAGTGAATTAAGTTGTTAGTTGCACGGGGTTGTGATGAAATGTTTGCATTGTGATTGTTATCAGTTGGCAATTATAAAGCGATGCTTGTTCTTATCAGTTTTTATCTCTTTTAATTTAGAGTTGTCGTGAATTTGTTAGAAAACACTTTAGGAATAGTCTTTGAGCTGGTTCCGTTGTCTTCTGAATACGATACAATCGTGCATGTGATTAACTGAGAATTTCGATAATACAGAACGATGTGTTTCAGGTTAGAGAACGGTGTTGTTGTTCTGTGCTGTTGTTCTCCGTTCAATGGCATTTGAATTAGTTCATCGTATAGAACTTCGAGAAGGTATGATAGAGCGTTTTTTGTTTTGCGTTGAATTTTTGATTTCATTATTAGCTTCAAGTTATCATGCCATCGACTGCAAGTATCTTGATGATCTCGTCGACAATTTTGCACATTTTGTTTATTGCTAAAACATTCTGATAAAACTCTTTCAATAGATCAAACGAATTGGATTTGAAAATTTCACAATCACTACACTTGCAAGCAAGCACGTGACTGTCAACGATTCAATTCTTATATCGAAGAAGTTTTTGTGGAAAAGAACTGAATTCTGCAGGTCACTTATTCAGTCACTTAATTAGCATTCATGACTCATTACGAGTTCATGTCTCTCCTTTCTCTCATCAAGATGACCGAAGAAGATGGTGATGTAGATAGGAAGCGCATATCGTGGGATTTGGTGCTGCGTCAGTGGAAGAAGCGTATTTGATTTAAAAAAACTCGATTTAATGAAATCGTTCAGGTGATAGAGGCAATTCAGGTGCTGCGAGCGATGAACGAGCGAAAATAGTGGAATTGAACAATGGCGATTCGTTAACGATCGAATGTTCGGTTGACCAGAGTTATTCACCTTCAAGCTTCATCTTCTTGCATAACGAACGCAACACTGCTCCTGATGCATCACAACTAATCACCGAACCCAGCAGGTTCAAACTCATCACTCAGCAAACAATCCTCCCTGTCCTAACGATCAGAATAGTGAAACGAGTACAATAATGCCATCAAAGCAATAGCGCATTTCGAAAAGAATTTGTAAACAATCAATGTAAATAAGAACTTTTTTGATTACCCTCACTGGAGGTATAGCTCAAACACAGAGAGCGATCGTAGATTCGACATTACTAACAAGATTACTATTGATTACTATTGAGATATATGCAATAGTTTTGTAGCAACGAATCGCTTGCCTATACTCGAAATTTTTATTTCCGTCACACTCACAAACAATCACACACAATGAGAATGCACCACGCACAATGAACTTATAATATTTATCATCGTTTTCTTTTCTTTCACATTTTCTCATTGAACATGAAAAAAATCGCTTAGCTTTGCTAGCTAAATTGCTGAATTTAATTTCGCAGCAACACTGCTAAACGATCTCTTGATTAAGTAGATGCACGCTGTTCAATATTGTGAAATTTCATCAAAACTAATGTGTTCAGTGATCGAAACTAAAGCAATGCGTTCCGTATTGTTCAATTGTTGATTAAGTACACAAACATCGCAACATACATTGTGAACGATAAAAGATTTGTGAAATTTAAACAAAAATGAAACTGGACTTCACATTTGAAAGCTTGCAGAAGAGTGCTAAAAATACCGAAATTTAACGAAAGAAAGCACAAAGGTGAGTATTTGTGTGCAGCGTCGAGCTCACATGGAATGGTCGAGAGAACGCTCGTTGTGAAAAAGCGCAGCATTATCGACGATAAGCACTATGCGATTAAATGTAAAGAAAATAAATGTCGTAATGGCGGCCAATGCCTGGTGCCATTATCTGGCGACAGAACTTCATTCTGTTTGTTCGTTTTTTTTGTTGTTGTTGTGACTTTTATTATTTGGTTTCATTCGATTCGTAACGTCACTAACATTTTTTGTTATCTATTTGTTTCTCTTTTATGAGTAGCTCTGCAGCAGATGGATTTTTATCATGAACTCATTGCATAATGCATGCGAATTGATTTAGTTTGATCTCTCTTCAGATGTCCAGATGATTATGCGGGAAAAGACTGTGAAAGTCATGCAGTTTCATCGTATGCGAGTGAGTGACATTTTCGTTTATTTAGCTGATATCGGACAAGATTTTGACAATCTACTAGAAACTATTCATTCCATAATCAACTTTTTGAATAAGTATTGTGTATGGGATGAAAAGCATTAGTGTCTTTGCGTGTATCATTCAATAGCGATGAATCCTGTTCAATCTTGAGCATGCGATGTTGTTTTGAAAGCGATGATATGAGAAATTTTAAATGCTTTAAAATCAGAAATTTGTTTCCTTCAAAACGATACATAGAATCTGGCGGTTGTTGTGTTGATGAAATAAGTTTCAGTACAAGGCACGAAAGCGACATTTGGCTTGGGCGGTGTATGGACAACATTACTGATCGTATCGTGCATTCTTTTGGCTATTTTATATCGACGCGAAAAGTTTGTTGTTTTCATTGACTTTATTTTGCAATTATAACCATCAATGCGATCTCAGCGAAACATCGCCGATAAGTTGAGCAGACCAAATCCCGTGTGAATGTATCTAATAGACGAATGATTTCAGAAGGAAGAGACGTGAAGCAGAAGCTAAATTTGACGAACTCTCGCCACTGTACAAATCTGAAGAAGGCAACGAAAAGTTTCTTCCAGACATGGATCAAGTAATAACTATTTCGTTAACAATACGATCATTTTGTTTGACGAACCACTTACGATTAGTAAAATTTCAATATTAGTATTAATCCATTTCAGAGTTTGTGTCACTTTTACGTCGAAAAAATTTGTCACTTTGAAGTTTTGGTTAATGATCTCAGAAAATCATATGCTGAATGCATCTCATGAGTAATGAGTAAAATGACCTTTCAGTACAAGTGTATCTCAACCTCGTTTACCCCTGAGATTGATGAATAACGATAATAATGAAAAACATGTTTGGTGATAGCAGAGAGGCGCCTTTCTGAAGCGAGCAGTTGAACTTGATAAATTGTTAAAGAATGAATAAGGTTTGATGTGTCATCTCAATTTTGGTTATTTCTCATTTCAGATCGATTCGAGCTTGATGTTGGGTGCATTACACAAATACGCGTATACACAAAATGAACGCACCGATCCTCCTCTCATCGCTCCATTCGGTATGGTTTACCATCAAAATCTATGATACAGTTCTGGAGAGTATAGTTAATCAACTACCACCTTTTCGCTTTCTATTATGGTTTGCTAATAATTTTCTGGCTATGTTGGATTCAAAAAGTTTTTTCAAGACCTGCTGTTTCTAGCAAGAGTCGAAAGTGGCGTTGAACTTGACGTGACCTCGAGCACTGATAATAACGCATCTAAACACAACGGTGAACCACGAATAGACCATCAGCCAACAAGAGTAAGTTGCTTCGTCCATTTCTCAGCTGTTCAAGTGATCTTATAATATCAATTCATCGACGATTGGATCAATTGTTTCTTGAATCGATCTGCCATATCCGGTCAGATCAACATATCAGTAAACTTTGATAGCTCAATAACTAACAAAGTTAGCCCATATTATTCGGAAAATGGAAGCTAAACTGCAAATCGCAATCTAACTAACATCCATGTTTTACCAACCTTTAGCCTGTAATAATAAAGGAATCATTCATTAGTGCACTTGCAGGCTCGTTTGAACGGAACATCCGATTCGTTATGACGTACGACGATTATGTGCTCTGATCAAGCGAACTGACGCACAGAGTTCAGACAAAAGTTGTTGTGTGATTGATTTATGAAGAGATCTACTTAAACAATCGAATGATGTATCAGATCATTCTTCAGTCTCAAAGTGTTCCAATTCGTTTGGTTTTTTCTTTTGATCAAATATTTGTTTCTTTGATGCTTTAATTGATTGTTCGCTCATTTGCATCGAATGTCACTATCAGTGCCTGCATACTAATGCTTTTTCTATGTGCTTATTTGAGAGTTTTCAGACGCAATCCAATAAAAGCCTCTTAAATGAAATGTCAATGTGTTTGATTATACAACTAATGTGATTTAGAAAGAAAACAGTAATAAAATATTTAATTGCTGCTGATCGATATGAGATATGAAACAACCGCATAATTTCCAAACTAATTCACTACTTTTTGTGTTTTATTCAAAAAACTGAACATAAACAACAACACAACTGGAAAGTAGCGATAATGAATACAGTAATAAGCACGTTAACAATACTGATCACTTTCAATAACATACTGCTCAAACGCCAATTTGCTTGACTTGAACCATGCAGTGAACGATGGTATCGAGCAATTTTCACTCTCAATACGCGACTATCACGTATGCTAATCAAATGAAGCCTACAATTCTATCAAGAACTGCTTAAATATCCCGGTCGGTCATACCTTTCAACAGTGAAGCGTTAGGTCAGTTGCGTTGAGGAAACGATTAACATGATCGACTAATCAATTGCAATGTACAAATTAGATTCAATTCTCTCCAAATTTCGCCAAACTTCCGGCTAACACAAAATAACAATAAAAACAAGCAACACAAATAACGGAATTGGAATTAAATCTGGGTTCTTTGCACACAAACGGAAACGAACAGGCGATCTTACTGAAGTAACGAAAATGTCTATAAGATGCAAATTGATTATGTAAAGTCCAGTAACAACAACAATAACAACGAAATAAATTATGAGTTTCACTAAATTTGGCGCAAATAAACGTAATCCAATAGTATTGTCAAGCTGAAGTTAACCAAATACTAACAACTATAATAGCACATAACAACAATAGCAAACTGAAACATTTTCAAAATATGATTATCAACTGATAGTGGGCTGCTGCCTTTAATTTCAATGACTTTGACGAAACTGAACATAAATGGATGTGTAAACTTACTGATCGTAAGAATGAACACAGTGAGAAGAAATGAATTTGAACATATCAATAATTTAATCATAACAATGAGTTCAACCTTTCAAGAGTTATCAATAATACGGATGCAGATATACATATTTCGAACAAAACTTTTGCACTGAAATAAACAAAAAATGTTAACATTACATGTGTCACAGCTTAATAATACAACTGATCAAATAAAGGTGTCGATTAGTGTCGAATGGGCGAACGGAATCGGCACTGTACAAGTTTGATAGTCCATAACAAAGAAAAATTTCATGATTCAACAGTGATGAGCTTTCAACAACACAACATAGCCATCATGAAAAAAAAAGAAAGGTTACTTACGATCACAATTACGAAACAAAGAAGATGAAGAAAATTCGCGACTCAAGTCACGAAATCAAAACGAATAACATTTCCAAACAAACAACACCATCAAATCAACCATTTCTCATATTCATTTACTATCACTTCACGACACTGAATCAAAACTTCACACAGATAGAATCCCTCCAAATAGATCTATTCGATTAGGTCTCCGAGCTCATAAAAATCCTCACAAAAAAACTCCAATAAATTCACTCGACTTGGTCGAAAAGTAATACAATTAAAATACAAAAAGTGATGAATGGATGGAAATTCAGGATGCATTTGATGGTGTGTCAGAAGAAGCTTTCAGAGCCAAAGCGAACAACAAATGTGAACATTCTGGTGTCAACAACGTCACACGCGGTGCACATGCACTAATCAAACGATCGGCCATGTTACTCGGTGCAAACACGTACAAAACACCGCCCGGCACCGTCACCACTCCCGCTGCCTCTTTTTCTGACAGATAGTTCACGAGCGGACGAATCGTCTTATCGCATGCGATTGCGATCATTAACGATAACTGTTTCTTTGACGAACTAATCAGACGTTCCTCGAGTGCTTCTTGTGATGCCAACGGCAGACGTTGTGTGATGTGCAGTTTGATGGCACTGCCATCCGACGAGTCACGCAGCAACTTTTGCAGCAAATGCTCTGTCCCGCTGATGCGATGCAATCGAACGGCGTATTCGGTTTTCTTGAGCACCACAAAGCCTTGCCACGTTGACGCAATACATCGCTCCAACTCATCCACTGTATCGATAACACCGTGAGACGGCGACGAGCCACGACTGTCACCATCGTGTATCAACGAGCCGCACTCTAGTGGTGGCGTTCTGGGGCCACGACGTTTACGAGACGATGCGATCGAAATGTCACCCGAATGACTTCGACGGCGCTTACGATCGTCTTTTTGATCGTCTCTTAAATTTTCATATTCTCTTAAATATTTAACAACATTATTTCACTCGGCTGAACAAATTTTTCACACATATTCAATCCAATACAATTCAATAATCGAAGACAATGAGATAAAGTTATACTAAGTCATATCATAATGCTGTGATACAGTTCAATTTCATTCATTCTGAGGTTTCCTCGTATTTGTCAAAAGTCTCTCATAAAATATTACAAAATATGGTTTTGAAATTCAAAATTATTTTCAATGAAGAATTTTTCATATAACATGTTCACCTTGATCGATGAACTAGATCTGAAGAAAAAGCTATAAAATAATAGGAATCTGTGTGAGTCAACAATTGATTTACCTTTAAAAATCAGCTTGCAATTAATCAAACAAAAAAGACTGCGACAGTAAAAGACTAACTTCGCAAAATCAACAATAATACACCGGTCACGTCCACCCAAAGGAAATCCTTTCATGGCACGACACGCATCCATCGCTGCATTTTGATCAGCAAATCGAATATACGCATAATCAGAACCTTCGTCATATTCCAAACGATCGATTAATCCATATCGATCAAACTCCTTCAAACTTCTACCACAATTAACTTGAAATTCCACAACTCAACTAATTTTTCATACATTATAAGCACTGCCTCGCTTGTTCATTAATTAGGATTGAAATTCGATACGGCAGCGAACATTTTCTCGTAAACCTAACCAGCGATTTTACTCTACTTATTGGTTGAGTTACTCTCATAACTGTGATAGAAAAAAATCTGGAGCGGATGCATGAAAAATGAGCAAACTCATCGATGGCAACCAAATGAAATCAATAACCTTGGCCAAATACTCAGCCGATGTCCATGGACCCAACCCACCGATCCACAATCGATTCGATGGTTGTGATTTGCCATAGCCAATCTTACATCTTGCTGTTCCAGGTCTTATCGAACGGTCGTGCTCACTTTGTTTGGCATTCATTGACTGCTCCAAAGTCTGCATATCACTTCATTTACTCACAGTAACGCAAAATACATTCGTCATCAACTGAGGACGATGCAAGCGAAATGAAACGATAAGAAATATCCTCAATTATTTGGAAAACAGAGACCTATATGTAGGTCTAAACACTTGTAATGAGATATTCCAATTGCTGATTCACAAAACGAATAAACAGGTTGACTCGTGAACCGAGATCAGCACAGAGTTACTATACTATCCTAGCAATCGAATACCGAAACAGTCAGATCGAAATGGGCTGACTATCAACGAACATGAAAAGTAAATGAACGCAACCTGGAAAAGAATGAAAGCATAAGCAGCATTTGTTTCCGGTGGATTTTTAATATCAACATCCTCAACTCGTCCATACTTCTCAAAGACTCGCCTCAGTTCAGATTCACGAATATCAGCTGGCAGATTACCAACGAAAAGAGTTCTTGTCGCATCGGAATCATCCTCTTTTAAGTTCCACGTATTGTCAGCACCTTCACGACGTGGACGAGTAGTTGCTGGTGATATTCGTCTTCAATCAAACGCTTATGATGATCGAATCGCCAGAAAAATCATTGCCACTCTTATCAAAATATTCAATACGAATACGCAGAATACCTCATCTCTTTCACGTTATACTCAATCGAATACAGCAAAAAAACACTGATGCCAGCAACAACAAATACTAATTCACAAATTTCATACGTCAAAAAAACACATTGTTATCATTCAAGAAACAAATAATCATCTGCACATAACTAATCGAGTACAAGAATCAAGAATAAACCTCCTAATAGGTTCTTTGCGATCTCGATCTCGTTCAGCCTGCAGTGCTCTGTTGTAACGGTCAGGTATGTATTTACCCTCTTGATCACGTATTATTCCAGCCGGATCTATATGTAGCCTCCTCCCTAACAGTTTCTGTAATCTTGGCAGCATCGTGTGTCTGATTGTTCTGGCGGCATCAGCACGCTCAAAATTCACATATGCAAGTCGTTGCTCATCACCCGGGTTGCGAACCACTTTTATCTGAAACAATCATTTCATCGAACCACTTCTATCCGAAACTCCAAAATAATGTTTAAAATCAACTTATGATGCTTTCAAACACAACTTGTAGCAAGAAACAACATTACCAACTTTTCCTTACAAAAACAGATTTTCATATGAATCTTAAGAAACAAATCGAAAACGAACCTCAAACGGAGCGAATCTCCTGAATTCATGTTCCAAAACGTCCTTAACTTCATCTTTCGACAATTTAGCATCCAAATGTGATAAACGAAGATTCATGTATTCTTCTGGAGAGTGACTGCCGAATCGATCGCTATAATATGCTTTACGATACAAAAAGGCAATAATAAGCGATGATCAACATACTAACAGCAACTGCAATAACAATAATTCCAAAAAGATAGATCGCTGAAACTCACCGATAGAATGCCGAAAGATGGGTGTCTGAATTCGGTGATGGATTCCGTCTGATCGGTTGCGGTGGTGGTAGACGTTGTACGGGTCTTGATTGCCTTGTCATTCCTACGCCACTGCTTGCTCCTCCACTCATATTCGTGTTTGCGTACGGATTAAAGCGTGGATTTCGACGATGGTCTTGTCGCATATCATTATTTGGATATCTACTTCCCATTGTCAACTGATTGACTGATTGGATTCGGATGGATTTGAATCGGTTTCTTTCACTTAACTAGTGGCATTTATATGCGGTGATCACTTGACTGAATGAATGCTTTACAGAAACTCACAAACGAATGTAACAAATACCATTTCATCACAACACTAGTGTTGATGTAGAGAAGGAATTTTGATTTTAACGACTACTACAGTCAGCATTACTGGACTGCAACATGCATCATTGATTCAATGCGTGATTCGAAATCAAGTTGACTTTGTCATGCATCTGATGAATCATTGATAAATACAACTCAAAATATATGACTGAATCGAATATACCGGTCCGATCATTTTGCAATTCCAGGATTTCAAATATTCGGTTTGATTGAGTTTTGGAACGTTTCAACAAACCAAGAGTTTAGGTAGTTGGTAGAACGTAGAATAAAATATAGACATCAATATTTTGAGGGCAGATGCGCACATAGGCAAAATGGTTCATGGGAAATGCAAATGATGATATGATTGATAGCCTTCCGAAACGGTCAGCATTATTGCAAATTCATCAATTAATGAATAAACAAATTATTTAATCATCTAATAGAATATAAATACCAGTAGGCAGCATTTCGTATTATTTTCTAAATGTAAATAATTTGAATCTATTAATAAAGAAGATCATGAGCTATCATAGGATATAAGATAAAGTGTTTAGTACAGATCATAAGAGAATCAACCACATGAATATTTTAAACGCTTCGTTGCTAATACTGACGTCCTCATCTGATAGAAGTGAATCCGGTGGAATTGTCATTTGACGAATGAATAGATTTACAGTTTAGAATATTGCAACACAAATTCATACTTGAAACTCTCATATGAATATCCCGAATTTTGAAGGTTGATTAGTGGAGTGAATATGTTGCATGGATAATAAACACTCGTCATATCCTAATCGATAATTGCAATCAATCAAACACAAGTGTTAACTCGAATCAAAATGATCAATTGCAATCAGCCAGAACAATGAATAACGTTGAGTAAAATACATCAATCTAATAATTAGGTCGTATTACTGTACGTGTTTCCGGTAACCATAGAAGCTACACTGGCACAGAAAAGTACGCGCATACTTGTGTAAGAGTTAGAATATTGCTGCAATATGCAAATTTATTCTTTGGTAAATTAGTTTTCTGAGTGATGACTGAATCACACTGAGTAAGCAACAGTAATTAAACTCACTGCAATTTCTATCTGAAAAAAAAAGAAGTGCCACGGAGATTTTTTGATGAAATGAACGAAAATTATGCATGATCAAAGTTTAATATTTGCACTCTTACCTTATCACTGTAATCAGCTAAGTTACATCAAGGACTGGTCAGCCAAATGCATATTTATCATCTGCGAACTATGAACTTGCATATAGACATTTGAAGCGAATCAACTGTAGTGAAGAAATATTGAAGATGAAAAAATCAATGGTGGAACTTTTGAGGTAATATAGATGAGTAAAATATTATCAATAGCAACAGCAAGAGGCGCATGAAGAAATTAAGACGGAATCGCTAATAAACAGAGTGAATTGTGGAGACTGAATTTAGAGATGATGAAGTTCAGGACGATATTTGAGTACTTGAATTAAAACTCTAATGCGGATGAGAATTGCCCTGAAATGCATGCATCCGCACACTGATCGAAACTGACATATCAACCGCAAAACCGAAACCGACACGAAATCGTATTGATTCTGCTCAAGGGTAACCGACAGGAGGAAAGGAATTCATCAATATGAAGTAGGCTTTCAATCGATGTGAATATTATATCAGTAGAGTCGTATGAATAGAGAGGAAGTTTATCACGGTGGCAGCCGTTCGAGTGAAATTTTAAAAACTGAGTAGTAGTCAATCACTGAATTTGGACGACAGAAACCAAGAAGCACATTACGACAGCAATTGTGAACTGTAGAATGAGATAAACAAATGCAAATATACTCGAAAAAATTCCAAAATAAAACCATTATTTTGTAGATTTGAATAAATAAATAATTTCGTGTCAAACAAGTCAACTATTACGTCAACAATTATTAAACGATAATAATACAACGAGCACTATGATTTTGCACGACAAACAGCAAATTTCCTCGTAATTAGTCGAATGTTTACGAGAATATCGATTGACAAGACAAACGCCTTGTTCGAGCTTGTTCGCCAAATGCTTTGCCAACCGTAGCCCCCTCCTCCTGTGCAAGAGAAATACCACGAGTATAGTTTCGAAGTGGATTTTATCAGGACT